ACGGCACTCTGTATGTACATACCTGAAGATGGAGATAAAGGTAGCCATTATTATATGTGGAGATGTCTGTTGTCATTAGTAAATTTTTTATTACATTAGGTATGAATTGATCATGTTGATGTGTCACATATTATCTTGGTGCCATAAAATTACTGATATTCTAAAATATTGAGAAATTAGAACTCTGTCCATTGCAGAAAACCTTGGGTGACAATTTGCTTGGTCATTGTGAACTATATATATGGTTATAATGGCAATTATGTTATACAAATAAAAATAATATACAATATTTAAAACAATTTAATTAGGTACTTTGGCAATTTGAAAGCCATAAACTGATAAAACTATTTATTATAATATAAACGTCTTCAGGAATCTTCTGGGCCTCCTCATCCTCCGCGCTTACCGACATCTACTGATTTGTTGATGGCACAGTCAAACAAAGGGGTTGCAGGGTTTTCATCATCAAAGACAGATCAAGATCCTCATATGTCTCCTTCAAGGCAGGCACCACAGAAAGATTCGAATGTACCAAAGCCGCCACCTCTACCAAAAATTTATGAAGGTTTGGTTGATTTCTTTGTCTATGTTGTTTGATTTTTAAGTTTCTCTTTCCAAGTGATTGCACAGTAATTTATATTTAGTTGGTAATTGTTAATATAGTGTAATATAGTATAGTATAATTGGCAGTTCAACAATAAACTAGTTGCAGTTTGAGGTTCTCGTGGTGATGAGTTTAAGATGGCCGTCTTCTGGGTTGTAGCACCGTGTATTCTGGTAGAAGTGTATCACCATTTGAGAGGTCCTTGCTGCCTGCATCCTGGTGATGGAGGCAGCAAACTAACTATATCATATTATTAACAATAATTAATGTTGCACACAGGAGTAGGATTTTTGTATTTGATTATTAAATATTTGGAATTTGTGTGTGAAAAAGCATTATGCAGTGTGCATCAGTCACTGTTAGACTCAAAGAATAAGCACATTTTAATACAGAATGATTTTTGTAGTTACCAAATACATTGTTTCTGTTAGGTCAGTCAAAGAACCATCCAGTAAAGTTTTGCAACATTTATTTTCTTATAATTTTCAGCCCAGGATATTCATCTGCAGTCTACAGGATTGACAGATGTGAAGCGAATCAAGGTCAGCCCGCCTAAACCTGGCCGTTTGTATCCTTGCCTGTCTGATATTGAAGCAACAGAGACAGAGAGTGAGATGGCAGATGATCAAAGGTGAAATTTAATTTGTATTACATTGATTCTTATGTGTGGAAGTTTGCATTTTAATTTGAGGTTCTTTGTGTTTGTAATCTTACACTTTCAGGAAAAAAGTAATTAATGTAAAGAATTGTACTTCATAAACTGTCTTCTTTATTCCAGCATTTCTGGTATGAATTCTAGTGGTGAGGAGAATTTGGCGGAAATTAGTTTTGGTCGTGCAATCCTGAAGGCAGCAGGTATAGACATAACCTCTGATTCTATAAATAAAGTTCACGAGTCCCAGAGAGATAGTAGTGATGATGAATCTGCTGTTCTGGAAGAGATTGCTCATTTCCTTGAAGATTTAGGATCTGAATCTGATTCAGATACGTCTCCATCACCAGTAAAGAAAACCAAGGATAACCATCTATCTCCACAGGTAAATGATAACAACTACTCCAGATTTTATACCTGATTTCTGCTGAATCTATACAAAAGCAGGATTTACTATTTTGATAGTCCATTTGAGCCTTAATCTTTGTTGTGAGCATTGGTACTTAAAACAATATTAAGAATACTGCGATGTTTAAAGAATATAATAAATGGGAAAGTCTTATTACAAATATCACTTGTGCAATGTCTGACAAATAATGGCTAAACTTTCTGTGTAGCATCTTGCAACACTGGTTTGCTGGTGTTTGTTTGATGTCATCAGTCTTTGGGGTGTAGTTGTGATGTTTATTTTGTTGGTACGATGTTTTGCCAGTTAGAGAAACTACAAAAATTCCATTGACATTTACAAATATAGCATGTTTATAAAGAGGGAACGATAAGTATAATACAAGTTTCTGGTATAAGAATCTGTGACGAGCTCTTACAGATACAAATGAAATGTCTACTCACATAAAACGCTGAGAATTTTGTGACTAGCTGAGCAACTATCAGTTTCTCGAGACGGACTCTGTTCCATGGTGTTAGAAGAATACGCAAATCCAGGTAATAACCGTAGTTCTCTCAACATTAACAGAAGGATTCTTATGTTATGTGTACTTTTTTCTTCTGTTTTCTCCAGAGAGACTGCAGTTCACAAACAAAGAAACGGTTGTATTGTAGTCCAACCACTTCTCAGTCACATAGTTTCAAATATTCGAAAGGTCCTTCAGTGCACAAACCGGAACCAGACTCGACTCCAAGGAAAGCCGAACACATTCCTGCATTTGTTGTTGAAGGCAATGAACAGGCTCCACTGATGCATACTGTCAGCTTTTATCGTCGGCAGCAGAATATGGCAAGTGTGGTCTTCGTATTTGAAACTATTACTGTGAAATAGGAACAACATTCTTACGAAATGTACAGAATACACTTTCCGGGCTTGTTCTCATGTAAGATTTCTTACCACTCGTTAAGGATATTGTCAGCATTTATATTTTGTATGGTTCTCAGCATCACAATTTAATTTTTTTGATCTGTTTTCATTTAACATTGGTGAACATTCTCAATCCACTCAGTACCCTTTCACAGTTTCAGGAAGTTCCTTCTGCTCATCTATTACCCACCACTGCTCTATATTAATGTTGTTTTAATTTCAGTCTGGTACAGTGGCTGAAAAGAAAGATGAGGTGTGTGCCATCTGCTCTCCCCCATCGTATTGTTCGAGCCATTAGGTCGATTTAAAGCCATTATTTCTATATTTTGAACATTTTGTGGTTTTCAAGCAACAGTAAGGTTAAGGTTGAATATTCTGATACCCTGTTTGCATTGAAATCAATATTACATTGACAAAATTGTTTATTCCTGTGTAGGCAAGTGACTGGAATGGGAACTCACATTTTGTCTACATTGAACAGGATGAACATGCTGAGGTTCGCTTTCCAGTGTAATTGTTGAAACTCCTTGTTCTTCTGTTGCAGTAGGCTTATTACTTTTCCTGGTACTGGATGTGGAGTAAAATATATGATACTGTGTCATTCATTGTAATGTTGTTTGTGTTCTGTCTTTAGTTGTAACTGTGAAATGCATAAAATGTAGTCTGAACTACATATGATATGTGTATTTCTGAAATCAGGCTGTGAAGGGAACCCCAGTTCGCCAGGTAGTGAGACGTCCTGAACCTGAACTTGAACCAGGAAAGGTCTTGAATAATGTAGAAGATAAAGTGATTGAGGGAGCCGTAAAAAAAAAACTAGCAATGCTTGTGGATGAGGTAAGATTAATATTAGTTTCTGAGAGTGTGTTGGGCCGTTGCCTTTGATCAAGTGTGTTTTTTTCTCTCTCCACTTTTTCATTTTAGGCAGAAGTGACTTGAAACAAGGTTTGCATTATGTGAGATCCATTATCATACGGATTTTAAGGGTTTGTCATTGAATGACCTTAGTATTGCTCACACCTTGAAAGTTGCCCTGGCTACAATATTACAGTTATACTCATTTTTGGGCTTTAATTTGTTCATGTTTTAAAATATTTGTGTTGAGTGAAATTTTAATAAATGATAATGAAATGTTTTGTACTTTATGTAGGTGTCAAAACAGGAGACAGTGATATCACAGGCTAGTCAGGCACTTAATCTGTGCTGTTCAACGATCGAGTTTTCAAACTTACTTGTTGCAAGTAAATATCACCTTTTTTGTTGTATCTCAATTAAATTGACCAGTGACTATTGTTTTATTAAGTGATACCTGGGAGCATCATTATTCCCCATAAGTATATTGGTTTAGATGCAGTTACAAAGATCCTACTATATTGTTCTTAACCCTTTCTGTGCCAGTTAATATATTAAAGCAATGTGCCATCTTTCCTACTTGGTTGTTCCCATTGTGATCTCAGTCTCCCTCTTGGGTGTTTTTCTTTCATATTGAAAACTTTCTGTGGGATTCTCTTTTTATTTATTCTTAAAATATATCTTGTTATTTGTTATGGATTTCTGCTGTTTTTCATAACAAATATAAGTCACTGATATTAAAAAATCTGTATGTTAACGCGGCTTCACATACAGCAAGCTTTCTTGGATGTAATTTTAATAGAGATCATCATACACATTTTTTATGTATAAAAACTGATAGTTAACAAGATGCTACAAGAAGATTCTTCATTTTCAAACCACATTTATCCACAGCTCATCGTCGGCAAGCTGCACTGCATGAGATACAACGGTTGAGGGTCGAGGGCAGCTTAAAGCCACAAGGCTCCAGCACTGAACTGACAGAACAGGGATCTCTTGTCATCACTAACCTAACATTGCCCCTGAAGAAGAACTATCTTCATACAATGGCTGCAGGTGACTTTCCTGGATTGATGAGATATAAAATATGAGCTGATCATTATGAATGACAATAATAAGAAACTTCTTGTTCTATGTGTGCAATGAAACATGTCCAACATGTGAGAGTCATCCTATAGATTTTCAACAAGTGTTCTCAGTAATGAGCTTTGTATGGACTTGCTTCCAGTCTTTCCAAACCATCCTGTAAGGGCAGTCCAACATCACATTTTGAAATATTCACTTTGCTGTCTCCTGAAAACATTTTACGAGTTTCCAAGTAACCGATTTTTTGGTGTGTTATGATATTCATGTCACACGCAAAATTCACTTTGCACCATTTAATATTACGCAGACAAATCAGGATTGAGTAGAAACTGTGCAGAGGTAGTTGTTTTGTCACTCACTACTCACAGATGCACACTTCAAAGACTGGGAAACCTCCCACATGGGAGGAGGCCAAAGCGCGGACATGGGCTGTAGTGCCATTGGATGTATGGATGTTTAATATTACAGTTTTCAGATAATATTTTACAATAAACACTAGTTCTTGCATTTTTTTACTAAATTGAAGTTCTAAAAGAAGAATTGGAGATTAAAATCTATTTGTTACATGAGCAATGTGCTGGCATTCTGTACCCTAGCTGTAGCTCTCATTGCCATGGCTCCTTACCAAAGACTTGACCTGGTTTCTGTGTGTTTTGGATGTGCTCCAGATGAACGGTGCCACCATTTTGTGTGTGTGGTGCGTGCTCAGGAACAAGTGGTGGCTTCACCAGTCCTAGCTGCCACAAGTGAGAACCTGCGCCGAGGAGGTGGCGCAGCTTTGGTATTTCCTGGTTCACTGAGACTTGATGGGCTGTACAGTGACTTTAAAGTGACTCTTGAAATATACAACTTGCAGACCAACAGAGAAGTACTCCCTCATGACATCAAATATCATATTTTTGGGAAGAAGGTTTGTGCACAGTGATTTGTTTTCAGTGTTTTAGCATTAATCATTCCTGGCATAAATTCTTTTCATGTTCACAAATTATATTTTTAATGATCCTGATGTATTTAGTTCTTTCTCTAGTGTCTGTTCACATCCCCAGAAAAACTCATATTTTCTTTATTTTTCTCATAATTCCACTGGAACAAAAAATGTATGGCATGATATGCATGTCTCATTTTGGGAAAATCCATCAGTTGGTTAGAGACTCAGTATGAGATTGACATACACATGGACTTATAACACCAAGATTTTTATTATGGACTTTTTCTGTAAAGCCTTTGCAATCATTTCATGTGGTGCTAAAAGAACTTTTATGTGCAGGATGGCAGTGGTAATAAACTGCGCCTGACTCCGAAGAAGTTACTGAAACAAGAGTCTCGTATGGTGATGCCAACAGTACATTCACCTGCTGGCCCATCTGCCGTTCGCTCACCGGCATTCCAGATGTCAGGCTATGTAGTATTCTCATTGCGAGAACTAAGACGTACCCAATTCACTCTCAATAAGGCACGTAACTCTGATGTTTATTTACTCTGGTATTGTGCTGCAACTTTTATCTAGCATTAATAGAGAGAATTCTTCATGGTTTGCTGATTATTTCGACAAGTGAGCGTCATATGTTTTTATAGTAAGTAGCAAGTAGTAGTTAACCTCAGTATTACATTTTGCCACTAAATAAAGGAATTGTTTTGTTCAAAACATGCCTCGCAACTCTACAAATGTGATTTTGTTTGGGTATGCTGTTATGAACTTCTGACAGAGATTCTAGGCTTCAACTAAAGCAATTTTGTGCCCTATTTGAATATTTTATGATCTTGTTGATCCATATTAGTGTGCCAAAAATTTTGCATGTTTGGAACATAGTGGCCATAAATATAATATATATTCATATCTTTCCAGCATTATATTAGAGTAATTCAATTTCTGGACATAGAACTTCTGCACCACTTTCTGAAATTACCGTGGCGTAGAGGTTGCAAAATTTTTCACGTCTTGTATTTATTGCTTTGATTTGCACAATGGACTGAATCATCACAAAATAAAGTTTTGGCTGCTCATGTCAATTTTGGAGAAGACACTCCTAGTTTCAAATCAAAATTTTTTGGGAAAAAATAGAAGATGTGTGTTGTATTCTAATTGCAGGTAGCTTTTGCTTCCCCACTGGAAGGTAATATTAAGCTGCAACTCAGCTCAGAACTTCAGTTAGATGTAGGAGAAAGGGGGTTTCTTACCATGTTTGAGGATCTGTCCGGATTTGGCGCATGGCATCGGAGATGGTGTCAACTTAATGGTGCAACTCTTTCATATTGGAAATATCCGGACGATGAGGAAAAGAAGGTATGTTGATTTTACTAGATTACATTTTGTCCACTTGTTTCAAAGAAACAAGATGGAGTATGTTTCTCAGCTATTATTTAACACAAGGTTATAGTTTAGGCTGTTCATAACAGAGGCTAGTCATAGTCTTGTAAATTTTTATTTTACATTTAAAAATGTTGTATTGAGGTGTGTGGATACAATTCTGGGGAAGATGCATACTTTTTCAAACATGAATCATTATCAAGACTGTTGGGCTATAAATCAAATTTGCTTCAGTGATATACATTGGGTGTTTCCTCCTCATAAGTTTGCACATGTCATGTTGGTATTGTTGGTGTTAATTTGAAATGTACCAAGGATGGGAGGTATCCAATAGTAAAATGTCCATAAAAGTAAAGTAAAGCTGTCCCACTATACGCCATGTAGGCGCTTGGGAGGAGTGGAGGTACAGCTCCTACTCATTCTTGACCTCGGCACTAGATGGTGGTAAGTGGTCAGCATCACGCCCTGGCCGTGCTTTACCCCTGGGAAAGAACCCCGGTACCCATTGGATAGGAGGCTGGGTGGGCCCTAGAGCCGGTCTGGACTCAGAGGCTAGAGGAAAAATCCTCTGCCCCCGTCGGGGATCGAACCCCAGTCGCCCAGTCCGTAGGCAGTCCATACCAATATAATAATGTCTGTGACTGATTTAAAGGTTTATTATATACCTATAGTTTTTTTGTGAAGTTGTTTGTACAGAGGATTTACTGCAAATAAATTTGCTTTCGTGGTATGGTTTCAGGTACCAATTGGACAAATAGATTTAAATATTTGTACTACAGAAGTTGTGGGTCCGGTACCACGTGATATTTGTGCACGACCACATACTTTTTTGTTAGAGACAACAAGGCCATCACAGCCTGATGATGAAGATTCTTTGGTGCTAGTAAGATGTGGCACAGACACTGTGATTCGGTAAATAATATTTTGTCTATTTTTGTATTTGTTGTGACTGAATTTTAATGAAATTATCTTTAGCATTTCAATCTTTGTGGATTAATATGATCTAAAGAGTTGTTGTTTTACAGGCACCTGCTATCAGCAGACACGCGGAAGGATTTTGCCGTGTGGTGTGTGCAACTTAACAAGGCTCTGACTATGTTGAGAACATGGGGCAGTAAATCTTCCAACTTCTGATTTCTGGTGTTGCTTTGTGTTTGGTAGCTCCTGCCACCAGTTCTTGAAGTGTATGAAGACTTTTCCTGGATTGACTTTCTTAAAGAAGTATAATTTTCAAACATACTTTTCACATGTTTATAAGAAAGTGATTTTATTTTGCTGATGTAATGTTTAGTATCTAGAAATGTTGCGTTAATTTTTAATGTTTTTTTCTTATGTGGTGGGTTTGGGTCTTACTGACATAACATAATTTATAGAGCCACCTGAAGATGAGCTTATTTATAGGTTTTAAATTAAAGATGTGCTACTAGTTTTGACTGCTGCATGCATACAAAGCTTCTTTCATATCAAATTATAATGAAGATTTAATTAGTATGTTTGCATCTAAATGTCCATAAGTCTAAATATGTTGCAACACTTTTAATGCTTGAATGTGATTATTCAAATTTTTCTACACTGTTATAAAACTTGAAATACTGTAGGTCTCTTATCAGAACAATAATTGAAAGGAAGGTAGATTTAATTGATAGATCATTTAATGAAGATATATAAAGTTCAGGGAAATTATCAGGGGCTGGTTGACTGGTACCATACTTATTTAACACTCAAAAAAATTAAAGTTCATATAGACATGTAGTTGGTAATAGTGATTTTTAGGATAGTGGTGGAATTCTGAACATTAAAAATATGATGGCAAAAGGTTTTCTTTCAGCTTGTATATTTTGGGCAGAAATGAATGTTTTAAAATTTGTAAGATGTGTATAGGTAGACTTGTGTCTTTATGCAGGTTGTGATTGAAACATCTAGAAATATTTAATATCCAGAACTCCACAAACTGTGTGGTCATTGTCTCAGAGAATTATATTTTTACAGTGCTAACATTTCATTAAAAATCAGTTCCCCGAATTTTACTAATTTTTCTGTTCTTTTTAGCTGAATAGCAGCAACATAACTTACCACACTTTGACTCTACTAATTATTATTATTCAGTGTTCTGTCTGACGACAGGTCCATTGCTCTGCCCAAAAAGAGCTCTCCAGTTTTCCCTATTCTCAGCTTCTCGTTTTAACTTCTGAAACTTCATTTTCTTTCCTTGTTTCAGATCGTCGGTTAGCTGTATTAGTCTTCTTCCCAGTCCTCGCATTTCTTCAACCTGGCCTTCGATGATAACACTCAGTAATCCATTCCTTCTCATAATATGTCCCAGCCACTCTACTAATAAGGTATATTATGTTACACCTGTTTTCCCTTTCTCTACAGTCAGTAGCAACTTACTGCATTTATAAATCACAATTCTTTCAGAAGAGAACAGCTCTACATAAATTCACTCTTGAAGTATTACAAGCATTAAATGACATGTCATGATCTAGTTATCTTTATAATGCTTCTAATTACTGTTAATCATAATATATTGATTAATGTATCTTATGGAGGTGCTAGTAAATAGAACATATGTATGGGAGACAGAATTTTAAATAAAATGTCCAAATACTCTTGATATTGTTTAATCTAACAAGGATAACATTTAAACAAGGCTCTATACTTGATTTTCTTTTTCTCTTATATATCAATATTGACCTAGTGTAGATTTGTTTGCAGATGATACTGGAATAATAGTAATAACATTTAGGTTATCTTATAGAATTATCAAATCATATATTTGCTGATGGAGTCTGCAACTTGTACCTAAAGGATTTGTGAGTTCAATAGATTCTATTCAGCAGAACTTAAAATGATTATCATTTAAATTCTACCTAATCTTAGTTTTATTGTCATTAGTGCTACAAAAATTATAATTGTGTCACAACTACACCCTACCCCACATTTTTGATGCTGTATGTACAAAGAATGGAAGCTAAATGCAGTAAGTTATCTCTTTAGTGAACTTTTACCTCCACATTTGAATGAAAAGTATGATGAAAAACTGTGCCTTCTACCTATATTTAATTTAAATTTATGTATTTAATCAAAATGCATGAGAGTTTTTGGGATGGGACCTATTGTAAGAGAAAGGTTCAGCATTGGTATAGTATCATGTTCAAATACAGATTTCATAATAGATTGAAGAAAAGCGAATGTAAATTGTCGAATGATTAATTTCTGTTTGGATTTTCGTTTATCATTAACAATATATAAGAGCACATTATTATGTAGGGGGAACTAACTTCAGGCGCTTTCTGTATTGAGTGCGCTACATTCCTCAGATAATTCCCTAGTAGTCTACATTTTTGACGTTAGATGGTGTGAAAAGTGAATTATTAACAATGGCGTTTGTGTAGAGAGTGGTGTAAAGAATCGTTCGAATTTTTTAATTTATATGTAAATGTATCGTGAAAATATAAGAAAAAATGTTGTCAGTTAGAGAAATACCTGTTTAAGTTGATTAAAGTTTAGTTCTGTAGAAGTGGGATATGAATTACGATGTCTTTCGTTAACATTCCTGACATTCCAAAGGAAGAATGGAAGTAAATTTTGAAGAGCACGAAGATAAATATGTATGCTGATGGATGTAGAGTAGCCGGTTTGTCGTGAATAAGAAACGGAAATCCTCTGCCATAGTTCTGCGTTAATTCTAGGATTTCCGTAATAATGATTAATACGTGACCTGAAAATGGTAATTCTGCATAAGAATGCCACAGATCCGTGAGTTGAAGCATTCAGAATCATGGCTCACCACGAATTTCTTCCAGTTTGTGATGTGCTGTTTAATATAATCTCCTTGGCCTCTTACTTTTGTGACGTGGTGTTCGATGTCGTGATGGGATATGCACTGTTTGAAAGGGGTCGCATTGTTTGGTTTGCTGTTTCAATGACTTTTGTTACTGCTTCTGTGGTCATAAGCCAAGTCATATCCCTCAAATGGTACATTCATGCAAGTGAGACTCGTAGACGGTTGAAGGAGAAATCGAAAAGCGAAGCTGAGGTTGCAAAAAATCCTCGTTATAGTAGTGAACAGTGTTTGCAATTTCTTGTTGCAGCCCTGCACCTCATACAGTGTGGTATTCTTTGGCGGTATTTCAAATTATTCATTCCTGTAGATCTTCGTTACGTGAAACATGAAGTACGAGATCTGTGTATGTTGCGTTTATTTCATGCCTTCTGTGAAGCAGCCCCTATGTTACTAGTCCAGCTGTATTTGTTGTGGCAGGAAAGCTCACCTAAGGAGTTTAGTGACCTCAACATTGTATCAACTGTTCTGTCACTATTCAGCGTTTGCTGGGCACTGGCCTCTTTCAGCAAGAATGTACGACTTCAAAATGTGCATCGATTGGTTCTAACATGGCTTGGTGTAATATTTCAGTTTCTTTGGAGACTTGGGACAGTTTCAGCACGTGTGACAGCTTTAACTGTGTATGCTACACTTTATGGACATTGGGTATTTCTTGTAATTGGCCTCCATTGGATTTCTATGTTTCTTTGGCTGATCTCACCAAAGAATGTGTTCCATGGTGAAAGAATCTCCAAGCGACGTAAGGCAGCCTTCTCAGCTCTCATAGCAATTGTCTATATATTTTCATACATCAACCTACAGGTAATGGGCAGTGTTAGTAATGACCTTCCGTTATGTGTAAGAGATCATTTAATATGCTGTGATGGTATGTTATTAAGTAAAATCAGTTGATTAACAGGCTTTAGTGATGGTCATTGTTGTTGATTGTGGTTTATGGATTGTGATACCATACCTTGAAGGTAGAGGTGATATGTTCCTGTGAACCTGTGAAACATTATTAACTGCCTACAAGGCTATGGAGCATCACAACCCCGAAGATCAAAATGGATATTATCACTGTTCTAAGAACCTCATATTTTTAAATTGTTGCTGTCTTCTGATCATATTTGTATTCATTTAGAAAATAAACACTTTTTGGTTTGTAAGAAATTTGAAATTTGCTTAGAGTTTTAATACTGTTATTATTGAATTATTTGATGGAAGGCAGTAAAGTAAAATATGCTTGAAAAATGTGTTTAATTTCTTTTATAGGAGTTTAATCCACGGCAGAAAATGGCAATGTTTTATGTGGTGATGTTCCTGGAAAATGGTCTTCTAGTTGCGGCATGGCTTGTTGGTGTATGGGGTGAGGCTCCTTGGTACAGGAATGCTATCCCCGGTGTTGTGTTCTTGTCATTTTGTACAGGAATAACTTTTATGCTGCTCTACTACCGGTACTTTCATGTCAGGAGGTTTGTATTATAATCTTTACAGCACCCCTTGACCGTGTCTACAGTTCATTAAGGTAGTGTTCATGCAGCTTCACACTGACTACATATATTTGACTCATGGAATTTTCTGCATACTCTGGTACATTGGTCATTGGCACAGGGTACCTTTACTTTGTTAAAAGTCACCAGTGGTGATTTTAACAGCAGATCTGTGCACCTATGCACTGTTGTATAATCTTGTGCTAAACTCATCACTTACATATTCCTTACATACCATAGATTTTTTCTCTATATGCACAACTCATTTGTTTAACAGTTAAATGTGTCACATGTTTTGATACTTTACTTATCATCTGACCATTTTGTTTTACTTCTGTTACTTGAATGCCGCTGTATGTTTTGACATAAAATATTGCATTTGAAAAGACAAATAATGTTTAATATATAAATGTAATATTTTAGTGAAGTCACAAAGGTAACATTGAAGCAACAAAAGTAAAACAAAATAGTTAAGGCCTGATAATATTTTTGTAGTACATATGATGCAGTCTACTAACTCTTTGTGACCCACTTTCAAAGAAGAGTCGAATCAACAGCCCTAGAATTCATTGAGGTTTAATGATATGGGAAGTGATGAGGTGATGAGGCAAGTGGCTGGAGAAGTGGTAAACCACCATTCTATTATACATTTGGAAAACATTATACCAGACTTTGAGTAATAATTATTTAAAAATCATGTTGATGTTTTCAGCATTCATAGTACACATGGGCAGACCTTGATAATTGCCTTGCCTTCATTGGAAGATAGCATATATAATTCCATGGTTACAACCAGCAGTGAAGTGTAAATGAACACTTAAAATAATCAGTTCTGTACAAAGAAGAAGCTTGTATGGTAAAACATGGAATGGACAAAGAAAAATCGAGTACATTTATTTCAGACCTAACAATAATGAAATATGGTATACAGAAATGTGTTCTTCATTTTGTTCTCTCAGATATACATATTTGAAGACCAAGTTTTACATAACTGCTTGTGATTTATAATACCACTGAATTATGTGAGATAAGTGTGTGTATGTGTGCTGGGCACTTAGCTCTGTGCTGTCCAACACTGAACATGGTAATACAAGTTAAAATGGGTTGAAGTTGCTGTTGCAGGTTGCATTATGAGGCAGGTGGTCGACCAAACTCATACAATAATAACTGTGACTCAACTCAACGTTTGTCTGGGAACAGCTATGGAGAAATTCAACAGAGCAGCAAATTGGATGATCAGCTAGCAGGAACTAAAAATCAGGTACCAGTTTCATATATATGCTTCATCCTTTGGTGTTTCAGTAGACAACCATTCCTACGTTGCCGAGTTTTGGATTCTGCACATTTACTGCCATGTGCCCTCATGAGCCTATTGGCTTTAGAGAGTTGGTATTCATTTGCTTTGAATTTGAGGCTGCAGTTGTATGCTAGTAGAAGCAGCAGTGGTCAGTGTGCTTGGTATTGAGTGCATATTATAAAATATTTATAAATGTGATGAGTATGAATAAAATATATTTGTATTTATTAACAATAAATGATAAATTAAAAAATATTTATCAAATGTTTTTAAGGGGAATATACAATACATGTTCTTTACTAGACATATAACTGCTCTTTTGTCTGATAAACTGATTTATGTGTCAGGAAACGGATTGCAATGGCAAGCTTGGTGGAAGCAGCTGTTACCAGCGAAATAACAATGGCTACCACCCATACCACCATGGTGGTATCCCAGGCGTATTTAACTGTCGATTTAGTAATCCTGTGGCATCTGCAGCAGCGACAAAACGTAAGAAAAAGAAGCCAACTAGTTTTGTTCCACCACCTGTTGTCACCACAATGCCATCTATGGCTATTGCTTTACAACAGCAGCAGCAGCACCATAGCTTGATGCAGGATGCTTTCAGCAGCAACCTTACAGTACAGATGCAGAGTGCTGTACCATTCTGGAGACGTCCATTACCAAGTCAGCATAACCACCAGGTTTGTTTGGTTTCTCTTGGTTTTAACTCTAATGTGATAATATGACCTGTCCAATTTCCATCCCACTTTTTCTTCTGTATCTGATAAATGCAGAATATCTGGTCACTAATGTATGATTTGAAGCTTTGACAGCTACTAAGCTCAACATCCTCTCAGGCAATTAGCCACAGCGGTTTGTTATAGGAAGAAACAGTTATGGGAACCATCTCTGTCCCCATCACCAGGGTTATGATGTCAGAACTGACACAGCTAATTGCCTGAGAGAATTTTATTTATATCAGGTCAGTAGGTATGTTATTATGTATGTTAAGTCCATGTTGATGATCACCATTCTTCTATGGCTTTCCAGTTCATATTCAGTCCATGGCCTCCTCAATTCTCCTCTTCCATTCGGTCCTCTGTTAGGTCCGTCTCTCCGAGGCTTTGATTGAGGTTTCGAAACATCTTCCTTTTCACGGTGCAAGGGTTTTAGCCTTATGACCAACCACCAATCTCGAGGACCAGGGTACCTGTCTTAGTCTGACCTCTGCCCCTCGACCAATCTGGCTAGGGAGGCACTACCAGTAGCTGTGCTACCGCCAGCATAGCTCTTGTGATCACTGAGGTACTCAAGCCCCATGACCACGACAAGGTGCAGGTACCATTAAGTGGGGTGATGATCACCATTAATTTTGTCTATATATAAAGTCTGCCATGAGAGAAGAATGTTACAGTGTTTTGTTTGAAGTATGATCTGAAAGTTTCATAGTGACTAAGTATAATGTATTCTTCTCAGGCTACCAGCTATGTAAGATGGTTGAAAGGAGAAAACACCATTTTGAGAACCACTGTGCAGGTTTTGCTAGTATTTACTTTAATTTCTAAGGAAAGTATAATACATTTAATTGTCAAGTAGCTTTGTTCTTTAATTTTAGCATACAAAAGAATGATGCCATACAGTCAAAGAGACAGATTTTTCCTAAAATAGGACCATCAAAATGAAGTGTTTGACATTGTTGTAGGGTGGTTCAAGTGAGAATGAAGCAAGCAGTGTAGGTTCAAGGGTGAACATTCAGCAGAAGCTTCAGGAGAAGAAACAGAAGCAACTTGCAGAATTACGAGTTATAGAGGAAGAGATCAAACAGGGCAAGATCCAGCGTCCTGGAGGCTCAGGAGGAGCACCTTCTGGGACTGGAGAAGACTTAGGGTCTCTCCCTCGACAGCCAATTCCACGTACTAAGCGACATAATCAAGGGGGTTGGCCACCTCCTTCACCACCAAGCTCACGTGCTTTACCTCCGCCTTACACTTACCACCTGTTGCCACCACCAAGAGCAAAACATCGGTCTAAAACACCAGAAATCTTGTTGGCTCCACATTATCTGGAAAACAGTGGATTGTATTTTGGGTGGGAACATGAACGGTCTCCAGTTTACAGGCTTTCAGATGATGAACCTATAGACAGGTGTGTATAACTTGGGTGTACATAAACTGTCGTTACATTGTCATTGCAACCTTAACTCTTTTTCTCTGTCCTGTTTCATTCTTCACCAGTGGAGCATCCCAGATAATGGAGGTTTATATACAGTAGTAACATCTGTGAATTTATAATCATTTAAATCAGTTCTGTGAATGTGTAATGATTTATGATTGGTTGTTTAATTATGTATCACCTGCAGAAAGAATGATGGTGATTGGAAAGGGATGTTGAAGAAATCATTGCGTGTCATAACAGCATTCACCAGAATTTCAAAATATTATGAGACTATCTTTTGAGTATGATATCTACAAGACTAGAGCATTACTTACTAGGAGTGTGATGTGTTTGTATAGGAAGTATCTCACAATACTATTAAACATTTTAATGTTTTTCATGGTGGTTCAAGTTCTCTCAAGTAAATCTTCGCACATCCATCTAAATTCATCATTCATGATGATACTGGTTGTATGGTTGACACTACATAACTTCAGCATTTGATATGAGCATTGATTTGAAGCTTTCAGAGCAACCTAACTCCATAAAATCTTCTCAGGCAATCAGCCACATTAACTGTTTAAAAGAAGAAAGTGATATTTCATGGAGCATCTCTGTCCCCATCATCGTGGTTGGACAGAGACGGTCCCTGAAACATCGGTTTGTTCTTTCGCATCTGATCTCCCGAGAAGAATTTATTGTGTGATATGAGCATTGTAAAACAAGTGAATAACAATCAGGTGGTCACCAATTAATAGAATCTGTGCACAGAGCAGCTGAGAGTAATGTATTTGTTTTTTCTGCAGTGTTACGTACTTTGTTGAGAATGAAAGCCCCAAATTGTATGTTATTTTTAATATTTTTGTATTCTGAGATGTAACCTTTTTATTTCATGAGTCTCGAGCTGCATTTGTAATGTTTCATTGCATATCAGGGACTGCAGCAGTGAACGAGGCTCCAATTACTCTGAGTCAGGGAGAGGTGGCAAAGATGAACTACTGGCACGGAATAGTGACATGGCAGGTGACTCTCATTCTAATGGTGCCCACCAGCAGCAGGCCATGCTGATGTACAAGTCGTATCGCATTCCATCTGACATGGACTCTCAGATCTCACTTCCAAGGTCATATACACTACCTCGGGAGTTCAAATATTACCGAAGGCCAAAGTCAAGGAAAGCCATACGTTCAGAGCATTTTGTGGCTTCTACAAACTCAAGTGATGGTAGGTTAAGTCATAACTGACAGACTAATATAATATTTTCATACAATGAATGAACAATACCACTAAGGTGGGAAATTTGTGCATATTTTAACAGTTCTGGTTCATATATTACCTTTGTGATTGGTATAAGTGACATCAGAGTTGTCTGAGCGATTGTAGATTCCCCATGTCACCATGGTAACAAAAATAGCTTGGATATTTCTACCCAGAAACACATCCAGGTCTTTACATGAAGTTCTCATTATTGTGTCTGATTTTAACCAAAATTGTGATTTGTCAACAAATTATACTGAAATTCCCCAGTGTCAAAATTTGTGAAACTCTGTCTAATCATTCCCAAGTTGTTACTTGTGGACAGCAGAACTGACATGTAGGGTGAAGCTAATAGCTGCATTTTTGCAACTTTTACTTGCAAATATGCCTAAAAGTTGGGTTTAGAATATTACTGTGTGGTGATATAAACTGGCCCAGAACAGGGTCTGGTGGAGGTCTTTGTTTAATTCGGTGATAAACCTTCGGGTTTTGTAAGTTAGTTAGTTTGTGATATAAACTGAACTTGAATAGCTAGAAGAGTGGGGCCAAGTTGCGATGCAGAAACATTGTAGTAATTTTAGGCTAGAATAAATTGTTGATGCAGCAAATTTTATTATCATAGGGCTTATATACTCATTCACAGATTCTTCAGTGCAGTTAAATCAGATTAAGTACAGGGCTATTCAAAAAGATTGTCGGGGTTTTAAAAAATCACTACACATAATACAATTGAGGTAGGAATACCAATCTTGTTTTATTGTGTAGCAAAACTCTCAAAGTTTTTTTACATGAATTATAAATGCTCAATATGTGCGCCTTCTGTCAATCTGCAGACATCTACACGATAGTCCATTTCTTCCCACACACGCCCCAGCGTGTCAGCGGTGATGTTCAGAATGGCGGCTCTGATACGTACCTTCAGATCCGGGATAGTCGCAGGTAGAGGGAGGACAAATACTTGATCCTTCCCAAATTTCGTGTGGAAGTGCCGTTGGACAATGGTAACGGACCGACTTTGATGATATTCGAGAGTACAAAAAGTCTTCTTCTTATCGATAGACGCCATATTGCAAAATCTGGCACCTGGCGGCCAATCGCGTAACTACTGGATGGTGGGTGGTACAGAACAAAACTTTGAGAGTTTTTCTATCCACCAGTGTAATGATAATAGTCGTATGTTTAATGCATTGCCCCACAAAAATTCACAAAACCCCCGACAATCTTTTTGAATAGCCCTGTATAATACAATCTATTTTTGTTGCTGTGTATATTTTTGTTTTTGTTTCAGGTGATGTGGATTCTGGGGATGAAACGCCTCACCATAACCGAAATGCACCATCACAGCATCATCCTCGTGCTGTGAGACTGCGGCCGTATCGGGGTTATGTAAGACGAGATCTACATGAAACCAAGTTGTGATACTTCTTGATCAAACCTGCCCTTGGCCTCACAGTTATCCATAACTCACCCTTGAGTTTCACTCGCTACCTTTCTAGTGTTTCCAAACCAAACATATTTCATGAACTCTTTTTATGAATTATTTGCATACATACTGATTCCTTTCAAAGCTCAGCGTTTGTACTCATATATATTTTGGAATGAATCTGCTAAGGGTACATTGGAGTTCATATATTCTCATAACAGGATTTTTTTTTTAAAGAACAAGGTTTCATTAGCATCAAGTTTATTAAGAATGAAATATATGAAGAAAGATGAAAATATCTTTTCTGTTTTATTACTTGGACTTAAAATTGTGAAATGATTCTCTTTGCTTTTTCTTTCTTAGAAGAAATAAATGAGGTTATCATATTTTTAAAAAAATATGAAACTAATGCAAAAGGTACAATTTTCATGTACATAGTAGGTTGTAGAGTCATAGAATATGTTGGTTAGAGAAACACTTCAAATTCTGTAACTGCGTTTCTCATTGTTCTGTTCACTGCTTCCCTTTCCTTCGTCCCTGTGTATATTATATCTTGTGTTTTAAAACACTTATATCTTGCCAGTCCATTAGTGAAGACTCATATTGAAAAGGGGAATGGTTGTGAAATTTATAAATACATTGTACAACAAAAATAATATTCTCCAATCCTTGAAATGAAAACAGGGAATTTGAGTAAATTGGGTTAGCCTGAGCTTTGATATTTTGTGTTGCCCACCATTTTTGCAGGAAATAGTAAGTTTTTATGTGTTAAGAACATTTTCTTTTACCATATTTATTACAAAAGTGACATTTTAACAAAATTCAGAATTGTTTTTAATGTTTTATATTTTGTAGTTGGTATGTGGAGTTTCTCCAGTAAGATCCAGAAGTTGCCCAGCATACTAGAATTCCAAAGGCAATGTTGTTAATCTGCCATTTCAGCCACGTGCGACGCTGAACTCCTGTTCTACCAATATGAGTCATTCCTTATGGATATACTGCCATATATGTGAGCGACCATTGTGACAATCTGTATTTTGAATTGTTTTGCAAAAATTTACACTGGCTTTTGCCAATTTTCTTATAAAATTTACAAATCTGAAGACTGACATTCTAGCTGTAGCTTTCTTTACAGTTGCTTTCTTTCTCTCTCTCTTTTTTCTTGTTGAATGGCTTAGTAAATGTCTTGTGGAGGGTACAAAAGTGAAATGTAAATATCTATTTTGTATGTAAATACTGGAATAAAATAACATGTTTCTACTTTTATATTTAAATATATGTTTTGCTATATATGATCATATGTTTTTATTTGGAAATCACTAATTACATTCATGCATTGGAATCCTTCTTGAGAAGTTAATAGTTGTTTGGCTACTCATTTTATGGAAGCCAAGAGTTTCATTGTCTTGTTAACAAAGTCCATTCAAAAGTTCAGAATGTTCACCATCAGTGCATGCGCTAGAAGCAGTTAATCGTTTAGCATTGGTGGTCTGCTTTAAAATTTGTCAGCATAATTAAATTTTGTTTTCATAATGGCCAATTTAGGTCACAGCTTTACATGAAATTTTAAATTATCTTGTGTTCCATTTATAGATTTAGCTTAAACTGCACACTGTAATTACTAAATAAAATCAAAGGAAATATTATTGAAGATGCCTGTATTCTGGTATGTTTCACCATGTAGTATGTTAGGTATTAACTGATGTTTCAGAGGAGCTTACTGCCTCCATCACCCTGATCCACATTCCAGAAGACTGTTATCTTAATATCCGTTATCATGAGAATCTTAAATCTTACAAAATGGTTTTTGATCCTGTTCATGCTCCAATTTAGTTCCGCTTGTGTATTCTGGAAAAGGGTAAGCCTTAAAACACTCACAGAAATGTCATGACTTGAAAAACACGTATTTATCTGACAAAATTTAATTATCCGGCCGCAGTGGCCACGCGGTCTGAGGCATGGACCTCGTGCGCCTGGTCGTTGGGACCGTGAGTTCGAGTCCCACTCAAGGCATGGATGTTTGTCCGTGTCTTGCCTCGTGTTGGGCTGATCACTTATCCAAGGAGTCTACCATTGTCCAAATAGATCAAAAAATGAATAAATAAAAACATCGAGACCTACGGGTAAAAGAGGATGAGAGAGAGAGAATTTAATTACAGGAGAAAGGTATGATGCAGGGTAAAATGCAGTCATTGAACTTTAAAGAAACTGATACATGTAGTTATCCCTGTAGCTCAAAAGACAATTTTTTTTAATAATTCGTTCCACGTCACATACACTTAATGCTACATTTACTGCTATACGAGAATTTAAAAATTATTTGTGAATATGACTAAAGTTTTGGTTGAGAGGTTAGGTGGAGAATCGGCGGCAAACGAGACAAATTGTCGAGGTTGGGTTTTAGTTATCCTTCTTACCGATCGAGCTACCGCTTCCACTGCCTTTGTCGCCATTCTATGTTAATTTTGTTTTCTGTAACTCACTGATATTATTCTCTGTGGTGATGTGTTCTCGTAGTAATAAATATTTGTATGTTTTAATGTTTGAGAGCTGAAGTGTTTGGTTGACAAAGTATGCAGTAGAATGAAATAGATTATATTGTGTTTGACTCTGTGCCACTTACTTCGTGATGAACCAGTTTATCTGCATTTAGAATACTAATGTTCAGATTTAAATTGAATTAAATGTCTCGTCACCTGAATGTGGACGTAAGGAAGTGTCATGGAGAGGAAGAGTGTAAATAACAACGTTATAACCGTAGAAATAGTAAAAAATACTGCCATTATATTCAATCAAATTTATGTATGAAACTTTGCTCTGTAAATAAGATTGCGAAATTAACAAAAATGCCATTAAATCTCTTCAGCAAGAAAGGAAATAAAGGTGTTGATTACAAGTCAAGGTTGGAACACAAATTGTATCTAGTAAGTACAAATTAGTAACATTATGTTAATGATGAAACAAATGTGTGGAGCACCGGATGGCATGTAAATTCTTTAACTTACAGGCCCGAGAAAACCCAGAACCAGTATTTGATGTGTCTGATTGTGGTTTAAAGACGGTTCCATCAGGCATATATTCATTATGCAAGGTGTTCAGAAAAGAAGCTTTGTATCTTCAGGTAATCGTAGGTTTGAATCTAAAATCATATTCTTTGGATTGAAGTTCTGGTCTGAATGACAGTAATATGTTCCACTTTTATTTGCAGGAGAATCAGCTGGCATCCTTAGCAGGTGGGGGGTACCTACATGATTTATCAATGATACAGATATTAGATTTACATTCAAACTGTTTTGTATACTTACCAGATGAAATTGGACATTTGAAAAATCTCAGGGTAGGTACAGACTTGAAATGAATATAAGTGCAATGAGATGTTAAAGAATGGGGGAAAGAAATGAGAAGTATATCGAGTACCCCCACTGAAGGATATGGTAATATTATTTGTGACCTTACAGGTGTTGAACATCAGCTCAAACCAGTTGAAACTACTTCCAAATTCAATAGGACAGTTGGAGAGATTACGTATTTTGAACATTTCATCCAATTGTTTGAAAGCCTTACCTGACTCAATAGGGAACTTGAAATGGCTGCAGCATTTGGATCTGCATGATAACAAGTATCTGAAAGTGCTGCCAGCTTCATTAGCTCAGTCAGCCAGTCTCAGAGATCTTACTTTAGATTCTGAAAGGTTTGCATATCCACCAGAAGAGATTGCTGTGCAAGGCATTTTTGCCATAATGCAGTTCTTATCTGAAGGTAAGTCAGACTTTTAAACATGAATAAAAGAACAAGAAGAATAATTATGCCACATTGGGGAGTGTGATGTCTTTTATAGGTGTTAATGAGCTGGGTAACACTTTACATTTTATTTTTCATGCTATAAGAGACCTTTCATTTCCTTCAAATTATCAATAAAATAAATTGAGATTTATTTATTTAAATTTTCAATCTTAATCCATCAAGTTAGTAAATTATATTTAAATACACCACCCCAAACACTGGATTTCAATTATATTTACAAAACCATTTGTCTAGAGGTTGTACTTTTAAATTACTGACTAAGTCAGATGTTGGTAAAGCCCTGTAATGCATTTGAAGTTGCTTATTTATAAGATTTGACAAGCTTTTCAGAAATTATTGTATATAAAATATGGGAAGTGACAATTTTTTTAGTTTAATTCTATAATATTTTAGAAAAATATGTATATGGTGTGCAGTTAATGAGGTATACATAAAATGTCATTTAAAGCCAATTTTCTAACCTAGCCTGAAGTCATATTTTGACAAAGGTTTAAGCTTTCACACAAAGATAGTTACTGCTGTAGTATGATTTTCTTCCATGTAATTCTTGTATAGTGATTGTAGCGTTATGTAGACATACATGTTGAAGTAGCAGTATATTTTAAGTATTTAGTTTTTTTGTAAACATGAATCCCTTTTTGATGTAAATACTTCCATACGGAAGGGTCATTCGGCAAAACAGCGTTAGGAAAATGTGTAAGATCCATACCAACAATGGACCGACAATGGTCAGCTTTTATATGAACTCTTGCGTGCATAACAATGTTTTACTCCTTTATCTAAGAAACTAATTGTTATGTCATCTGCTTATTCAACATTGTTGTGTTACATTACTGCCGTCAACAATCTGCTTTCGTTATTGCGGAAAGAGCTGAGCTGTGAATCGCTTGTAGAAGAAGTGTGTCGTAGAGTAGATAATATTGTGCTGTTAAAAACGTTTTAGAATATCACAATTACTTGTCTTATATAAGAATTATTAAGAAATCTGTGATATTGCTCTCCACCCTCTCCATTTTAGTTTTGATTAAATTGGTCGTTGCGGGTGGACATCGTAGTCTCTTACAATTGAACAAAGTTTGAGGTAAGGGATTCCTATTTATTATTATTATTATTCATCACGTTAAACGCCCGCCTCTCGAAAACCGTAAGAGATGGATCTGGACATATTGCGTACGAAATACGTATTACATCTTGAGCTTTCTGTATCTGTTTTCAGATTTTACATATCACAAATGGTTTAGGTTCTACAAAATTTATTTATATGAATAAAGGCGCATAGCACTTCAAGCTACTGCTGCGTGTGTGTTTTGTGTCATACTATGTAGAGATAACAAGATGGATGTCATTGAAGCTAAAAGAGTACGTAATGTAGAATATATGAGACAGTACAGAGAACGTAAAAAAAATAGAAGTATTAAATAATGAACCTGAAGTTCCCAAAAAAAAAATACCAAAAACTAATGCTGAACGTATGAGGGAATATAGAAATCGCAAGAAGCAATTATTCAAGTTATCAAGCTAATATATAAACTTCCTTTCATTGTATTTATTGCCTAAATATAATTTAAATACAAAGACTTATTTACGTCAGATTCTCCGGAACCGTGGTTCCACTGTCAATTTTTTTGTGTTTCTGTAGTTCACCAGAAATTTGTTGCAGCTGGCCATGCAAACTGACAGAGTTACTGATTGTGCACGTCTATCTGGCAAAAATAATTCAGACTCCTTGGAAACTAAAACATGATTATATACTTGTGGGGATTAAGTAGTTCAGAGGTATTTAAATTCCCAAGACATTGTTTCTGCAGAAAATTTTTACATTGTTACAACTGGAAGGGATTAATGCATACACATCTGTCTAACAATGTTAAGTGTCCTGTATAAGAATTAAGCAAGTTTTAATAATGAGATATGAAAGAGTATACTCTTGTCATTATTTTTATAAAAACAGAGCTGGGTGTGGATTACATCTCTCAATCTGATTCCGTGGATAAGGTTCGTGAGGTGTTTCATCCATCCAGTGTCATGGACTGGGAAGAAAAGGATCGAGACTTTCAGGTAAGTGATACTTTATCATTATATAGAAGAGCAAAGTTTATCACTTCCCTTTGTATAGTGCTGAGGTCAGAGAATATGACACATTTCCTATGGGCCTTTTCTGTGCTTTGTTAATGACACATTGGTCATTGTTTTGATGTCCATCACTGTACTGATATCTTTGGGCCCTGTGTGCAACATGACAATTCCAACAGATAATATCAGACGTTGCTGCTGTGTACCTGCAGAGAGTTTTTGCTCAGAAGAGTAAGGCTTTCAATATTGGGTTATAAGAAATATGGGTACTTGTGGGTTATAGGGACACATCGCTTTAAAAATAGGTTAGGTTAGGTTAATGTGTGTGGATAAATGACATATACTCGAAAGTTATTATATTTTATTTCAGTAAATGATTTCATAATGTGATTATTCGCACAGTACCTCGCTTTCAGTAGTATTCCTTCATCTTGCAGAGACAGAATCTTCCTCACTATTAGGTAAATCCCAAATTTTTAACATGGTACCGAACAGCAATAAATAACTGAAGGAACTAACAGATAACAACAACCGAGTATACGGGTATACTGATACGCATGCACAGTTTTCCGTGCCAATCTAACTCCAGATATTTGACTCCCCTGTTTTGTGTCCCGATAACCCACAAGTACAGAAATATATTTACAGTGAATTTACAAAGAACATATCATATGAGGTTGTTGTGTCCCAGTACCCAGCCCTTCCTCCTACCAGTCTCATTTGGTGATTTGAAGTAATTGATAAGTTTCATTCCTTGAGTGTCTGTGATGTTTGAAATGTGTATTTTGGTAAATGGTCATCCCCATACCGTTGAACTCACAGGGGATGTTGATCTTTATTTGCGAAGAAATGCTGTTACTTTCTTTTATATGTTCTGCAGCATTGATGTTATCTTCTTTTACTATTTACTTTCACTTTTATTATAGTTTGAATTGTTAATGGCTTTAAATATGTATTAATTGTGCTTTTATTTTTCCATTCTAGGCCAAAGTCATGCAGCTAGAGAGACTGAAGGCATGTTGAGTAAATGTAAACCATTTTCCTATTTTTTACGTTCATTTTTTAGTATTCACTTATTTTATAACAGTATTTATTAATTTTAGTTTATATTTTGGTATTATGCTTGTTATATTAGTAGAGTACATGTATGAAATCGTGTGACATTTGTCTCATTAAAATTCATACTGGTATACTAGTGTATTCCTTTCTGGTAGTATTCAGATCATACCCAGTCATGTTCTACATATATACATATGTAGCATGATTACTCACATCATTAACTGGGAATCACAGTATTACAGATATGTATCGGAATTTTTAAAAGGATTTGCGGTATGTATCCATGATTTTTACATATATTAAAGCACTGCAACTAAGAATATTGATTTTTTTAGATAATGCATTGTGGGGTCTGCAGTGGCCGCGCGGTCTGAGGCGTGGGCCTTGTGCCGCTTGATCACGGGGACCGTGGGTTCGAATCCCACTCATGCCACGGATGTTTTTCTGTGTTGTGCTGTCCTGTGTACAGGTAGAGGCCTTGCGACGGGCCGATCCCTCGTCCAAGGAGTCCTACCGAATGTCCATAGATCAAGCCAACTAAAAAGGTTGGGGACCCATAAAGGGTACCGAAAAATGTACAAACATTGTTAAACCAGAAAAAGAAGAAGATAATGCATTGTGTGTAGAGAAGAGGCTTTGCTTAGGAAAAGTTTCCTTCCATGAAATCATCTTTACATTGGAATTGGCAGCCTCCTGTGGCTATTTAAGGGACTCAGAATGTTGATAATGTGATTGAGTCGGGTGTTGACTATGTGGTTGGTGGGACAGAGCTAAAATTTGAGCTTTGAAAGTGTTTTGATGGTTATGATGGAAGTATGAAGATAGACATTGTCATGGAGTAATCATACCTTTGTGTTTTATTGGATTGCAGGCTTGAATTTGTCACATATCACAGTACCAGGACACTGTTTAATGTGACCTCTTCTGAAACTGCATGAAGAGAAGTTCCTTAAAATCCAGTGACTTTGTAAACTGCTGTTTTGAAATGACAATCTCATTTTCTTAACCTTTTTTTTTATTCATGTTTCTGTTCTGATTATTATGGATGAATTCCTTCTAATCATAGCAAACACATACATGCACCAGAGTATTGACAGGTGTTTAGTTCCATTATGCATGTGACGGTGCACTCGGCTACAGTGGTTACTGCAGTGAACGTTGCTGATATCTCTGCCCTGTCCATCTGATGCACAAGTTTTTCAAATGTGTTAATTATTATTTGATCTAGTCCTGCATGCCTAATTTATTATGCTTATTAAGTCATAATCTTCCTAGAAATAAAATTCTCGCTATAATTTTTATAACAATTTGATAAAAAGAATTTTGACAATTAATTTATACATTCACAGGAACGAAAGCAACAAGAATTATTGGCCTTAGAAAAGAACTTGGAGGAGCATCAGAAAAAGGAAGTGGAGCTTCAGACTGCAAAGAAGATCAGTGCAGGACGGGTTAGTTTCAACATCTTTTTAATGTAGATGCCTGATTATCTGGGTTGGTTTGGAAATATATTTTCCCAGATAATTGAAACTGTGGATAATTCACAGAAATGAAAGAAAACACACACAAATATATCATGTAATTAAATTAAGCTAATTGAAAAAAAGAAAGCATTCTTTTATTTTCTAGCCTTCTCTAATCCCCCAAATTTTGACTCGGGAACACAGAATAAAACCCATTGTTTAGTTATTTGCATGAAATGAATGCATGTAGGGGTGGGTGGTCATGTCTGTCTGCGTGATTCAACTGGAGAACTGCCAGATGAATTTGGATGAAGTCTGGTACAGGTGTTATGCCATTGGGGGTCTACCCAATAATCATATTTTCTGTTAATTTAAAACAATCTGTAATACCAACGTGATGTACGGTAATAGATTTTCAGAATGTAAACAGTTTTGATGTAATTCTTGGTATGATGTAAAATAACAACACGGTGGCTGCGTGAAAGGACAAAAAATGTTTCAGCTGGAAACTAAATTTGTCTACGTAAGTTAACTGATGTATTATTTTATTAATAATTCAGAATTTGCAAAGACCATGTGTGAATTGTGGTACAAATTACACCTTTCCAGTCATGTTGTATTTACTACCAAATATTGTAGTAATTGATATTTTGTTAAACAGAATGCAGTGGAATTCTCAGTAGCCACATTGTATTTTCCAGCTTCTAGAAAACCTCAAGCAGCAAGAGAATAAGCTAGAAAATGAAATTCATCGAATACAACAAAAAAGAGAAGCAGAAAGGCTGAAGCTTGTAGATCAACTCCAAGAAGGTAAGTGAAGTGAAATGGGAGACTGTAGGCGACATTAACTAACTCATCACCACTCATCATCATGTCCCATTTTGTCTGTGTGAATGTATAAAATGAACGCATACTGGGTAGATCATGTCCGTAAGCACCGACCCATCCGTGTTCGGTACTTGCTCCCATGAGAACCGGAAATGTCACTCTTGTTTTTCTCCCAGTGGAAGAAACTGCACAGTCTGTGATATCTCAGCTAATGGCCTTCAATGCATCATGGGACTCAAAGCAACTTCAGCACCTGTTAGAAATGGAACAGCAGGAAGAGCAGCACCTTCTCAATGTTGCTCAAGCGAAGTACCAGTCATACCAACGCAAGGATATAATAAGTAAGTATGGAACAACCATTTTTTTCCAGTGCTGGAGATATTTGGTTTATCTCCATTTGCCTAAGGAAGCAAACATCTCTGAACAGTGATGTTGTTTATAGAATAGAATAGAGTTTTACATTTCAGAGTTTCTTCAAAGAAGAACGTGTCACAATCAGAACAAAGTAATTGGTACAAATATAGTGACCCCAAGAGCTATGCTGGCGGTAGCATAGCTACTGGTAGGGCCTCCCTAGCCAGATTGGTCGAGGGGCAGAGGTCAGACTAAGACAGGTACCCTGGTCCTCCAGGTTGGGGGTTGGTCGCAAGGCTAACAACCTTGCACTGTGAAAAGGAAGATGTTTCGAAACCTCAATCAAAGCCTCGGAGAGACGGACCTAACAGAGGGCCGAATGGAAGAGGAGAATTGAGTAGTCCATGGACCGAATACGGACCGGACAGAGCCATAGTAGAAGAAGAATAGTAATTAATACCATTATAAATACATAGTTGTTACTGCTGGATCTTGTAAGAATATTATAGAACAAACTAACTATTTCAAAGAAATATATTCTTTATATAAATATTTACAGTATTTAACATTTTTCAGCTAAGTATATTCTTCTACGGAATTAGAATTGGAATTTCATTCCTTAGAGAGCTAAGTGATTAACATTCAGTAGGTTTCAGGTTCAAATCTTGGCCCAGTCGAATGCCAGGGTAAAACCTTTAATTAGGTCATGACTGCTTCCTTCCGTATCCTTTTAAGTCATTCGTGAATTATCCTATTATCTGATGCTGTGTAGTCTGAGCTACTGACAGTGTTAATAATACGATCTGTAGACCTTTATAGTACGAAGTAGTAGGATGTATCATATACACTTCATACAAATATAAATGCATAATTGGTTGGTAGCACTTGCATTATTAAGATCTTCTGTATTTTCCAAAACAGTTTTATATATATAAAGGTATGTAAGTAATTGCACTAAGACAATAAAGAATGCATAATGATACTTTTTAAATTGACAGGAACCTTTACAACGTCCAGTTAACCGCCACGGTGGTCTAGCAATTAGAACGCTGGGCAAGGCCGTGGTCCAGGCATCACGGAGTTTTCATCCGGGGGTTCCCCAGTTTTTCCGTGGCATCCCAACAATTACTCCACTTTCATCATCATCTCGCGAAAAGGGGGTCACAGCAGGAGCATTAAATGTCGCTATCCCGATCGAACCCATGTACTGATGGGTCATGAATCCTGCTAACCACCAATGCACACTCTACTGGACACGAAAAAAAAATGTCCAGTTCGAGGTTGAAACACGTTAGGTTTTTGTAAGAATATCTTATAATCATATTATGCAATAAAAAACTTATTATGTTTGTGCCAGTAAATTGTACCTAAAACTTCTATCCTGACAAGAAGTAACATTGTGTTTAAGATTTTTTTCTGTGTGGTTAGATTAGTCTCCCAAGATGCAGTTGAATAATTATGTTGGTATATGTCAGGGCTACTATGAATGATGGAGTTAAGATGTATGAATTACTCTTCTGTATTCCAGATGCCATGGAAGCTCTCTTAGAAGAGGAGTGTCTTCGAGAGAAAAAATTAAGAGAATATGAAGAGGGACGAGCTGAAGTCACACGAACTCTGCTCAGTCAGTTAGTACTCCACATGTTGCGTATTGAATAAGAACTTGCTGTTCTTTTATACTTCTCAAATCACAGAGATATGTAAACTGTTGGTAAAAGTAAGGTTCTGTGACTGATTGATTATATAGGCAAATGGAGTCGGATCAACAACTGGAAGACATACTGAACACTCAGGGACAGGTTAAGACTGAGTTGGTGGGGCGCCTGCAGAAGGATGAGGAATTACAGCGTGCAGCAGTAGGGGCACTGCTGGAACGAGGTGATGCTCGTAGTTGGAGCCTTGTGCATCAGGTGGCACTAGTTGAGTCACAACTTGCTGCTCTAACAGCAGTAGAAATGGAACGAAAGAAATTGGAAATGGATGAACAAGTGGTACGTAAAATTTATTGTAACAGTACACCTCAATAGAATTGTTTTGTGGGACAAATGAACTTGGTGTTATGCAATAATTGTGCCCCAGGTGATAGAACTTCTGAACTCAAGACTGTGTTTTATTGAATGGTAGACAAATGTGTACAGTTTTTTTTTTCCGTGTCCAGTACACACCATTCGACATGGTCAGGTGCTAATGTTTGTTCTTATGACTATAAGACCTTAATGCTGATTTGTGTTGGGTTCACACTTTTTAATTAAGTACATATTAATTATTACAGATGGAATTATCTGAAAAGAGGATTGCACTGTCTAGTCTCTTGATGGATCTACTGTCCCAGCAGGCTGAACGTAGGCGGCATTTACTGAACACACTCACAGAGATGGATAAACGACGCTGGATAGGTGAAGAGGTTGGTTGAATATTATAAGAAAAGTTTTGTTTAACTTAATGATTGGTCAGATACTATGAAGTTACCTCGATAGTGCCATTGTGTTGTCCTTTTTTATTGTTGTATTAAACTTCCACTATCCTGAATTTAATTAATGGTGGCGAAGGAAAGGAAACATACACATGGCTCCTGTAAAACCATTTCCTTCAAAAAACCTCTAAAATTTGTGCTCACTGCTGGTTAAGGTGGTAGCTGCCATCTGCTTACTTGAAGGCAGAAACAGTTAAAAACTTGATAGACGTAATGTAACTCCATGGAGCATACTCCTTGAGAAGCCGACAGCCACCTGGCTTGTGAAGAAATTTCCTGCTTTTAGCCTACTTTTGTGTCTCAAAATCAGCTTATAATATCAACATGCTGTCTTATGTGTCAACTTTTCTGACACTTCTGATGGAATCTGAAGATTGCATGGCCCAGTGCTCTTGACTGGCATACTCCGGGTAAATTTATTTTGAACCACCCTCTTATAAGCAACCAGTAAGAACCATTACAATTTTATCAGCATTTTATTCCTTGCAGTCATCATGGTTGTTTGAAGTAGCAATGCAGTACTCCCATTTTGTGGACATATGGTTATTTTGAATTTTGTAAATTAAATAAATTTGACATCGTGGTTTAGTTCAAGGGATTATGGACTGAGTGAGATTGCTTGTGGATGTGTTTCTGCATACAGTGAAATCCAGCAGACCCAAATTGCATTTCTATACTTTTATGACGGAGCTTTTATAAATATTGTGTGAAACTTGCTAAGATCCAAAGTTTATCAAGCAGTCATTGTAGTCCCTGTATGAAAGTATTAAAAAGGAATGATATCAAGTGATCTAATTCGTTATCTTACATAGAGGGATGAGAGTGTAGGAATTGCAATGCAGTCTAAACCTCTGCTTTGTTATTTATCAAGAGTTCTCATGTCATTCAAACAGAAGGGTGCAGATACTAGAACAGTTACTCATGTTATATGTGTATGTCTCTGCCAAATGAAGATTTTTATGCATAAATTAAGAGAAATTATATTTATTTCTTCCAGGGACAGAGCGAAGACTTCTGGTTACGACAGTACCAGAGATTGCTCAACTGCCGGCCAAAGTATCTTGTAGAAGCAGAAAACACGTTAGATCCATTGCTTGTTCACCACCTTGTTGTGGCTGGTGTGATTCACTATTTGCCATTTTTGGCAAGATGGGTTAATTCAACACAGACACTTAAAGATGTTACAGATACAGTGTTAGAGGAGGCAAGTATTAAATTTGAAAGACTGAATATGTATCTTTCATAGGATTAAAATACAGAATGTCCCATGTAACATGTCATAGCAGCATCGAGCAAATTACCGGGAAATGAGTTGGTCACAACACAGAAAATTGTCATTGTGCGCTAGTAGATGGGTTCTGAGTTATATGGGACTCTTATCTGTTTCTCTTATCTCTTTAAAAGGGTGATTAAATTTTTAATGAAATGTCTTTAGTAAGAAGCAGCAGTGGTATTATGTCAGAATAACTGTAATTAACCATAAAACTGCTGAAGTCTTCTTTTTCTCAGCAGCATTATTCCAAGGTTGGTTAAGAATATGTATTCCCATCTGCCACTTCTGGAATATTTTTGATAATTTCTGTCTTCTGTTATAACTTGGGACTACAAGATGCAAACAAATTTTAAGCAGCATTTCTCCAGGAAAGAAAATGTCTTTCAGTCTAGAAAATATGGAAGTTTCCTGTTTTTCATAAGGAATGTGTATTAAACTTTATTTTGATTATAGACAGGTGTGACACAGTCTGAAATTCGTACAGCAATTCTGCAGGCCATAAGGCTGTACCTGGAAGAGCAAGATGTGTCAGCAAAGAAACTTGACGAGAGGTTGCAGACTCCCGGGACACACCGTGGGTCAGAACCTTCTGCACCTCCATTAGAAGAGTTGGGGGATGATAGAAATATGAGCAGTGTTCCAGTTGCAGAATGCGTTGTGTGCATGGATGAGAAGGCAAGTGTCTTGTACAAAGATGTCCAGTTTTACTTCACTAAACTGACATTGACATCTTATAGCATTTTCCAGAAGGTTCCGTTGCAAGCACAGTAATAAACTTTTGGATTCTCCAGTAGGATTGTTCTTAACGTAGCTGGTTAGTTATGAAACAAAACACTTCACTAAACACTTCACTGTATGACACTCATGTTAAAGGATTTCATACAGCAATACATGAAATGAAATCTGTGGCGTAACAGCTCCAGAGAGCCAAAGCTGACTAGCTTGACTGCTGGCCTCACGTTCACATGCCTAAGCAGAGGTGAACGATCATCCAACCAGATATAGGGTGACGTGTGGTCAGCATGACGAACCCCCAGCCATTACTAGCTTTCTTGACCAGATTACGCTACTCATTGTAGCTCCCCTATTTCCTCATGAAAGCTCATGAGAAAATTCTTTTTCCCCCGAGACTCGAACCAGCGTGCATTCCGTATCGCCGGTCCGAAGCATAATGCCTCAGACCGCGCGGCTACGGCGCGGGACTACTGAAATACATGACACAACAAATTTAGTTTAGAATAAATTACATATAAAGTTTATGATGCACAAAAGTGTTCCATGTTTCTGACTGTAACACTGCTTTCAGTCTCATTCAGAAATATGAATTATAACAAAATAGTCAGGAAACTGGCAAAGGAATTAGTCGCAAATGTCATTGGCGTCTATTCCAGGTTTGGTACATATAAAACTTGCAAATGATAAGTAGGACTTCAGATCCTCATGACAGTGAGTATGAATATGGCTGTTTACTGGGTTCATCAGACCACGCAGCGCTACAACCCAGAAGACAGGCATCTTCATTACAAATGTTAAGTTTCATGTGGTTCTTCTGTTCTTAGTGTGAAGTCATCTTTGTGCCTTGTGGTCACATGTGCTGCTGCATCAAATGTGCTGAGATGGTGATGGAGTGCCCCATGTGCAGAAATGTCATCAACAAGAAAATACGTGTCATATTGCCATAACAACCTACAGTGACACTATATTATGGAACAAGGCAGGATGGGCAAAGTTTAGAACACTTTCACATTACAATAAGTTAGGAGGAGAGGGCATGTTTTAACATTAAAAGAAAATCTTTTGTAACTCATTATCCCTTACTCTAATTTTGGTAATCTACAGACAGATGACATTCAGACTGGACATGTTATACAGTAAATTTATGAAGTATTAGAACTGATTAGTTTAGGAAATTGAACATATCAAAAACAGAACATAGTATTTTCTGTTAATAAAATATAAAACCAAGTTACATTTTATGTAGACCATAAGTCAGGTGTATAAACATGACTTTAGTCTTAACTGATCACATGAACAGTGGGTGATGCTACCATCAAATATTCTTTCCTGCACTGACCTTTCCTCTAAAGTAACTGGTTTTGTTCAGTTGTATTACTTTTTAAACAGTCTTCATATACACCTGATATTTTATAAACATACGTCTTTAAAATTCTCTTAATTATCAGCACTAATGAAAACCAGTGAAGTCTAAATCACACTGTGCAATGTTTAGGAATTATTCATCGTGAAAAAGTATGGTTATCTACCTTATAAGAAGAGTAATTTTGTTTGTGTTGAACAAGAAATTTAGTTTTATCACTGCATTATTTTGGTACCTTGCAAATATTTTGAATGTGATGAAGTTTTGGTTAACAGGGAAAATTGATGTTGAACATGGCATATTCATTGCCATACCAAATTTATAGGTTATTCCTTTGGAATACTGAGATATAAATTACGTTGGAGACCACAGTCCTGTGATTTTGATAGAAATGGTGTGCTGCCAATTGAAGTACATTTATGTCCCAATTAAAGTGTTTGCTGCATTCCTGGAGAATGTCTAATACAAAAACACATTAGCCAAGATATTTGTTCGTTGACTCATTGCTGAAAGGGGGAATATGTTCCTATGCAGTTATTTTTCAGACTCTTTCATTTAGAGGTGTAGTAGCAATAGCAGCAGTAATAGTAGTAAACCTTTTTAATAGTGACAAAGTTCAAATATTAGGGAACACCAGAAACAAATCAAAATTTCCTATAAAAAAATACAAATTAAAATATACAAAGCACATTAAGGGAAGAACATAGATTTAGGATGTTTGAGAACAGGGTGCTGAGGGGAGTATTTGGACCGAAGAGGGAGGAAGTGATAGACTGGAGTAAATTGTGTAATAAAAGTTTTGTAGAGTATTATTAAAGTAATCATATGAAGATAGAAAATAATATGGGCAGCGCATTGGGAAAGATGGGAAATGCATATATATGAACTTCATTTGAAAACCTGAAGGGAAAAGACCTCTTGTTTATACAAGAAATGTTCTTAACTGCAAATATAAGAAAATATGCGAACTAAATACACATAATTGGGATATATCTGTACGTTGAGTGGTACACTGTTAGGAATTGGATTATCTTTTTGCCTTTGCTGCTTTTTTAAACATTTACTACCAACATTGTCTTGTACATATTTTTCAGTGCCTCTTTGTTGTAAACAGTTTGCAAAATTGCACAAGTTTTTAAATGTAAGTATGTGTGCATCAGTTACACAAGCAAATTTGCTTGCTTCTCCTAACTTCCCCATATATAACAGAATTTGACACGAACATGTAAAATGGATTGAAAAAAGTGACCTTAATCAACAATAAAAGTAACAAGCCTTTTAATGATGCATGTATCAACACTGTAGATTTTAAACTTATAATATTTATTGGTGCTGCATAGCAAATTGTGAGACATTTACCAAAAGTTATTTATTTTTCTTTCATACATTATAAAAAGTGTACATGAATTAATCTTAGAATGATCTTAATACAGCCACTGCAGTGAGTGATAACACAGAAGAAGCACAAGTGCCAAGTAAATAACACAAAAAATAATTTATTTCCACTTTTGTATCCTGCTGTGTGTGTGTGTGAAAATGTGCAAGCAGGTGTCATAACTTAAGGGCATAAATACATCAATGCCTCACAAATAAAAAATTGCCTTGAATTTAATAGATGTTTTTGATAACTCACATTAGCATATTGCAAGAAGGAATTAGGGTGCTGACAACAGATTTCCTTTGTACTCTTACTTAAATATTTGAGGTTCTGTCAGATGTTTTAAATATCGTTCATAATTGATGAACACAGTTCCAAGACAAGAAAAAGGACTTCTTGCAGTGTATTAACTGATAATTAAACTATTACACTTTCAATGTCATTGTCACATTGTGTGTGGATATTTATTAAGTTATTGCATTTCACTGAAAACACCAAAATGAAAACACTTCTTGTGAACAGCACATTTCCAGTAAGTGTATGTGTTGGGGTTGGGGGGGGGGGGGGGGCAATTTTTAAAACCACATATACAACATATAAAGTTGTAGAAATGTAATTAAGCAGGGATTTTCTAATCATTCCAATCAATCATGTACTATGAGATTTTCTGTTTTTTATATTCTTCCCTATACCAGAATGTAAAATAGCTTTCATATGACCTACTGTGGTCTGTCTGAACTATTATTAGGATCAACATGTCAATATCTTGATGAAATTAAATGATGAACTCTGTACCACAGTGGCAATAGTCTGAAACCTGTTCTAAGAATGCAATATCAGAAACAGTATCTTACAAAATTAAGGTCAAATTAGAGGCAACATATCGAGCTGATCAGTAGAAGTTGACAATATTTATACTTCATTTTTGTACACCTCTAGATTTGATACTGTTCTGTATCATTTTTCTGTTAAATTCTTTCAGTGTGGAAACAGACTGTTGATCTATATAAAATTTTGGGTGAATATTGAAATTAAAATGACTTTCTCAGATGTTTGCAACTGTGTAGTTCTGGACGAATGTTTCAGAGGAGCTTACCATCTCTATCATGAAGGTGATGATGAAGGCAGTAAGCTCCTCTGAAATGTCAGTCTGTATCTACCAGACTACACAGTGCAGCATTCAAGAAGACAGTCATCTTAATATGTTGCCATGAGAACCTGAAATCTCATAAATATTAAAATGTTCATGAAGTTGCTGAAAAATGAATCCTTATTAAATATTGAGTTGCTGTTTGGGTTTTCTACAGCTTTCTGTCCCTGTAAGTTTTGTCTGCAACCAAGAAAAAATCTTTTGAAAATATATGAAGTCCACTAGTGTGTGAGGTACTGTTGATTATTCGTGAAAACCTATAACTTCAATTTCTTCTGTCCTATATTTCCCCACATAGGACCACAAAGCTGAGGCTTGTATCATCAGATGTACACTGTAAAATGATCTCTGCCATAAAAGATAAGGAAGTATCTGCATGAACAAATTGCAGTGTACATGGTAGTACCACCACAACAAAATGTTAACACACGGAAGTGAATGTTAGGGAATGATATGGTAGAGGTGCATACCATACTAGTTATAAAAGCAGTATGGTTCAATCTGGGGTTCTTAACCTGCAGCCCACATACATATTGTCCTGACTTTCCAGTTATGTATCGTCAGCAATCCTTTGAGGTCAATATTTTCATATAAAATACCCACCAGATCCAATTTTAATATTAAACCTGTCAAACTCGACTAGAATGTGGTTTCTCAAGTGTCTGATAAGGCATAACAATCAATCCTCTCAAGGTCAATCATAATGTAATTTTCTAAATGTCAAAATGTACCTTGTTTAGGACCTCATAGGGCTAAAGAATGGCATGGTTAAAAAAACAAAACAAAAATTGGGAGGTAATCATGAAATGTATACAGACAAGTTTATTTCTCCAGCTGAAGTGTAACTACCTGGATCAATAAACATGATTCACATGGGTGAAAATAATGAAGCATGACTTCTGGAATTGTTAGTCTCTTTATATGAAACAATATATAATCACTGATCAGCAGAATCATATATCACATCAGAACTAGTTTCTAAGCCATTATATAATTCAGCCTCCATGCTATTGTCCTTATCTCCAACTTCATTTCCATTTTGATCTTCTGATTTCCTTCCTTTTTGCATTTTACGCTTCGCAGTTGCATCCTTTTTCCCCTTTTGCATCTTTCTAAAATCTGTAATTTAAGAATTCACAGCATTTAGTAAGCATACTTTGATGTAAATAAGAACGTAATATAGTGAGAAGTGCATGTATGATGCTTTTGCTCTGAATCCTGCTGTGTGTCTGTAGTAACAATTACACAAAAGGCAGTATTGTGTGCTGACAGAAGGCTCAAACATTAAAGTGTTAACATTTCAACAAAATTGAACTTACAACTTTGTCCATTTATCATACTAAATGTGAATTACTTTTAGACATACCACCCTATCATGTGTGTTCTACTAATATAGACCAAAGGTATCAATCTTTTACAGTCTTAGGCCACATTCACTGATAAAAATAGTTTATTTCCTATTTTTACTATGTATTCACTTGAGATTAAAAATTTAATTTAGGCATCAAAAATGTTCTTATCGTGCAAAAAGATACTCAATTACAAAAATGTGCACGGCCCATAGCGTAAATTCCTGGTGGGATTCGAAGAAATGGCGCTTTAAGTACACTTGTGCTGAGGGTTACCCAGAATATCATGTATTAACTTACATTCCAGTACATCTTGCAGAGGACCCAAAAATTTGTTAAATTCTACATTCCCTATCGCCTGCAATACATCTTGTCCGCTGATGGTTTTCCGGTTATTGCCTGTTGCTTCCATATTGGCAGCAGAGGTTATGTACAAAATATACACTGATGCCGACTTTGCAAATGCTGTTCTTGCTTCCTTGGCAATGTTAACACCATCAGGTAGAGCCTCTTTAATTATTCTTGTTACTACGGCGTTTGGCAAATTCAAGTCTTCCAGTTTTTCAGCCATACTTACTTCGTATAATTGTATTAAACTGTACGTCAATGTTAACAATGAATTTAAAATTTAAGCCTTATGTATTTGTACACGAGATGTTACCGTATTATTCGTTAGCACAGCATATGAAAAACTGTGGCTGTATTTAAAAGGTAGTCAATCCAAGAGACAGCAGAGTCAACAATGGTTTGTTAGACGAATTTTAACCACTAAAAGCCCTTCATCCAAACTTCACTGTCTCGGTTGATCCCATAACCTACAGCACCGTCACAATTTCCTAAGGTTGTCATCTATGTTTACGGATAGTGTCACAGATTATCACAGCACCTAAAGCAGCTTGAAATTTTGTATTTATGTATCTGTGTTCAACGGCCTTACACCCCAGAAAACCAATTCCGGGGGTAGAATTGGTGGGCTTGTAACAGCCCTAACGCAACGATATCTATAGTTACGAAGCCGATTTTCCTTATAAAGCTACTAGAGATTAGCTGGTACTGATTTTCATTGGTAACTATAATCATGCCTGGTATTAAATACCCATAAATATACACGTTGGACTCGGTGGTTGAATGTAGGAAATGTAGGAAATTATGTATTATCTACAGGCCTCTTACTGGAAGATAGCAGTGGGTGTGCAGAATTTACAATACACACGCTCATTTGGATTTTTTGGATGGATAGTAGTAGTAATTGGGACTAACATCACCTAAATTTCAAGATATTAAAAGTGAACGTATCCTAGAAAAGACAGTTATTCATTCATTAATTCATGGTCTTTTGATTTAGTGAGCTTTGAAACCTTCACGCACCGGTCTTCTCAAAATATAGCTACAATCTATCAACCTTGGCGATTTATCAGATATTTGTGTCGAATAAAAGTGCTCCTTTTAAGGGTTAATTTTACCAGTGCTTGTGACGAATAACATGTTTCGAACAAGATCTTTGTACTTGAATTTACAAATCATTATGCCTTGATCAGAAACATTTATTATTGAACAAATTGGCGTTCGCTAATCTTCTTGTTAGTCTTAACGAAAATAGTCTTCTGAGGTCAGTGTAGGAAGACTTATGCCCAACGGCACAGATTGTTTGAGGATTGTAGGCCCCTTCAGACTTCCAGTGCTTAAAAATTATTTATAAACTACGATTCCAAAAATCTCTGCTGCGAAAATTTTATGAAAACATTAAAATGTTTCTTGCCACAGTATGTCATCTTGGTTACATACTATCAATGTATTATTGTTATACATTCAAAAATTGAATCGAATATGCATACGTTCGTAATCTCATAACAAGGGAAGGAAGTTGTACTTGGGTATATGTACATTGTATGTTCGAAAGGTTAAGAACATTTTATGAATGGTATTACTAAATTTTTCATCATAGGCTGGGGTTATGCTGCCCTCTTGCGGTCAAATTAGAAACTAAATATCGACGTCGAGATGTCAAAGATGGCGGATTATGAGATGTGTTTGAGGTGTTGACATTCGTATGAAACTGATTTTGTGTCAGTGGTAGTTGTGTGTATGTTGTGTTACTTGTAACAACAGTGGAAGTAATGGGCTGTGTAGAAAGTGTGTATAAAAGATAGGTTATCATGTATGAGTAAAAGTGTCTGAAATTCCTATTCAGTGTGGCTCGGCGTGCGGTGCCTCAGATCGACTTGGGAATGGTCCCAAATCATGGGTGCCCAGCAAGCCAAGGAACGCGTAGGATCATCTGGAGCTCTTGCTGTTAGGAATACTGTAAGGAATAAACCACGAGTCCCCAAGGATGGACGTCAGCAGGGATCAAATATTTTCACTGAACACAGTGGTGAGTGTGCTTTAAATCTTGGATCAAAGTTTAATCTCTGTTCAGTTTCGTATTTTTTAATTATAAAACACATTATTTTTTGTACTGGCAGACACCTGATAACATAACCAACAGTCTTTGGGTATTTTATTTTTTGCATGGTTGGTTTGTCAATCATTTCTAAATTACTGCCAATGTGATGTCAATTATAATGGATAAATTCCCTACGTGGACGTTTAAATTTGGAACTTGAGAATAACTTAAATCAACAATTTCGTAAACTGTTCGGTATTTAAACAAGGTGTAAACACAGGTTTTATATTCATCAAGAGTTTTCCACCTGGCTTATTTTCTTATTGTTACAAAAAAGGATTTTGAAAGGTGAATGAAAGTGTTTTGTTCCTTTTGCTTTGAAAAGATTATTCCATTGAAGGCCATCATAAAATAGTTTAACTTTGTGTTCCATGTTGAAGTTCTGCTTATAAGTAGTTTGTGACTTCAGTTTATGTAGCTACCACTTGGTAAACATAGACACCGTTTAATCTAGATTCACAGGATATCAATTAATTCTGTCATGCAATGAATACAAACAATAATTTTGTTACTGCAGCATTTTTTGTGCAATAATTATTTTACTATATAGTTTGGTTTTGTTGTATTCTATTTGTTGCTTCACTCAATATACCAATCACCATTCTTTTTGGGTCAAAGTACAATTTCCCAACAGTTGATAATTACTACTCTTAGTTTATTGTAATCTGTGAATGTTTACATCTTCATGGTGTTCCCGACTTCCACAACAAAAAGAATCAGTTATCAGTACGTGCCCTGGTAATATTTGTAGCATTTCATTTTTGCTAATTTTTAAAAAGTCTAGTGATTAAACTACTAAATGTGTTATTACTCTAATAATTACCATACTACATGCATTATGTTCTAGAAGTTCACATTATTTTGGCAAACTGTCAGAGTACTGAAAATATAATCCAAATAAGATATTTAATACCATCATGATTTTATCTTCTTTTGTAATCAGTCCTAAGATTGGTTGCCAGCAGCTCTTTTCTGAGCTGCTGATACTTGGGAAATCCTGAGGATCCGCATCCTATGCCGTTGATCCATCCGGGTTCATCCAACTTTAGGGGTGATTTCTCACCCCAAGGGCATGAAGGTGCCCTGAACCTCCACCCTTGGAAGAGGCTGTTGGCACTTGGTAGAGGGGGACCACTTATACCAGTGGTCACTCGGTCTGTGGAAACAGTTTAATGTCATTCCTGGGACTACATGATTTTATATTAATTAATTTTGTACAGAAATAGCAGCTGGCTAATCCATTTAAATATGTGAATAGCACACAGCTTCTTATTTAAAGATAAAGTGTGATATGTTTTATAGATATAAATTAAACTAGCCAAGGTTTGTTTCATATTTGGTAGCCAGGATTATTGTTTAACGGTTTCTGCCGTTAATATATTCTATAAATTATAAAAGGGCTTGTATAGTTGCTTTAAACTGTTATAATCATTCATTTAAGTGGTCATCATTGAACATCAGACTCATTTGCCATTTTGTTGATGTAGAGTTTTTGTTGTTGGACAGTAAACAGATGGAGTTATGATTGTGGTTGAGGCTAAACGAGGCATGCCTTCTGGTGTGTTGTGACGTGTAGTCTAGTAGTATTGACCGATGTTTCAGATGTGCTTACAATCTCTGAAACGTCAGTCAGTGTCAACCAGACTTTATGACGCAACATACTAGAAGACGGCCAGCTATGTACTCTTCGCCGTGAGGACTTTATATTTCACCATCATGGAGGCTGTTGCCATTTGACCTCCACTAGAAGGCTGGACCAACTGGTTGCTATGTTACATGCAGCGTAGGTAAACGTAAAGGAATGTTGTTGCAGAATCCTATAGCTGTCCTAACTTGTCCTGTCAGTATGCATTCCCCGTAGTTGGTGTGCTTCGTCCAGTAGATCAGGGGCTGGTGGCATACGACCCGCCGATACGTTCTGTCGATCTCGTTCAATTAGAAAAATGGCTGCCTGATATGAGCAAACATGCCTCATTAATATCGTCGGTAGTAGTCTCTGTGAACAGTCCATCTTACGAAGAAAGCCAAGTCACGAATTGGGACATGTCTTGCTGACGAACTTTCGGGGGTGCTGCATTCGAATTACAACAGCAGAAATTAAACTTGGTACTGAAAGATTACTCAAGGAATGATTTATTATTTTGGAGAAAACTATTGAATTATATGTGAACCTGATCGTAACAGTAGGATTGGAATAGTTTTTAATAGATTGCCCGTGTTTATAATCTTGCTGCCTGCGTGTTGGTAAGCAAGGGTGAATGCGGTCTTGGGTCTGGAAAAGGTTGCGAGCCGCTGAAGTAGATCGTGGATAAGGGTCACATTCAGTTTCTGGATGGCTGCCAGCTCTCTCATCTTTACCCACCATTCTCTTCCTTATTCACCAACAACAGCTTGCAAAGTACATGCGTGGCAACGGGAAATTGAACTGAACTTTGCTTCCGAATGGTTGACAATCCTGCTTCGGATTTGGGAGGTCCGTGTTCCAATCTCGTCCCGAGAACCGGCGAGTTTTTTTTTTGTGTTCTTTCTTAGTTCCTCCAGGCTGGTGTCGGGATGGCACCTTAAATTAGGCCACGATCGCTTCTTTCCATATTCCTTCCAGTTTGTTATTCGTTAATTATCATATCATTTATCGTTTTATACAGCGTCATTAAATAAAGCATGAAATGACGACAGCGTGGTTCCAGGATTCTGTAACAGTGATTGGCATGTGCCAATATTTGGACCTCCAGTCCAATATCAACCTCTCAGCTGAAGTTTGGCCGACTTGTCTGATTTTGGCTTATTTTCCTTATCATACAGATGCACCCAAAACATGGTCAGCCTCCAATAGTATTTCAGAAAATTTCTGACGTTGCAGTGTTTATGTGAAGACATTTTAAGAATCTAGTTCAGGGGTTCTCAACCTTTTACAGAATTTGTAACCACGCACGAGCCGCAGGATTATGAATGAGGACAGTTTATTGACGTCGTTACAAACTTACTGTTATAAGCAGGTTCTTGTGTCCTTGAACAATTTTCTTTAGCGATCAGTAATCAGACATCGCTGGTTCTGCTTGAGCGATCAGTGTCTGGTTTAATTTCTGTTCTTGCGGTTCCCTTGCACTCCTCGATTTGACTGTCTTCAAGCTGGGCAGTTGTTCACAGTGGCCATTTATGGCACAGTTTGACACAGCAGGCCTTGGAAGAATGTACGCGGGCCGCCGGTTGAGAATCTCTTGTCTAGTTGATGCATCGAGAAAGCAGATGCTGTAAGACCCGACACAGTTAAGCGTAAAGTACCGTTCAAAGGTTCGCCCCACGTCTGAACCGAAGACTTGTCTAGACGAATGAATTTTCCTCCAAGTGGTGCCTGGTCACAGGGGAATGTAAGAGGCAGGAATAATTGCGTAGTTTAGTGTAACAGT